TTAATATTTAGAGACTTTGATTTTTCTTCAGGGCCCTTTTCTCTTGTGGTAAAATATACATAACATAGAATTTACTATTTTAACCATTTTAAGTGTACATTTCAGTAATATTCAGTACATTCACATTGTTGTGCAAACATCACCACTATGCATCTCCAGAACATTTCTATCATCCCAAACTAAAACTCTGTTGAACACTAAAACCTAATTTCCCGTTCCCCCTTCCCCTCTGCCTCTGCTCACTAACCACTGTTCTCCTTTCTCATATAGGTGGAATCATATAATATTTGCCCTTTTGTGTCTGGCTTATTTCACTTGAGGGAATTTGATTTTATGCATACTTTTCTAACAAGTTGTTTTCAGGGACCATAATAATCAAAAACATCGTTGTCCAAAGCCCTGAGCCTAAAATTCTATATCTAAAAGTGCTATAGTTTTTATTAAACTTAAGTGACTAAAATGACATGGTATCTTTGAGGAAGACCTTCACGTTCAGTTTCGTTGCTGTTAATATTTCTGTGATAAGAAAATTTCTCTACATTGAATTTTTTTAAAAATCCCCTTTTGTTGTTGTTGTCCCTTTTCTCGTTTGGGGGCTCATTACCTGTATTATTAGCTTTTAGGGTCTAAAAAGGGCTTGAGGGAGGTTTAACCTCTCCAAATATTGGAATGAAGTTTGGTGATGTGAGTTGTCCCCGAAAGCTCTGGTATAATGTCTTAACCTGCATTCTTTAATGCTTAACCCCCACCCGCAACAGAGCCCTGGGGTCCTCTTCTAGAGTCCCCAAGAGGAGAACCCCCAGAGGGAAAAGAAGAACATGCCATTGATAAGCATGATTTTTAAATATCAGAGTTAGTATTGGAATACCGCATTTCCCATTTCCCATCCAAGAAATTTCCCATGCATTGTACAGGTCTCTTTTGAATTTCTCCTTTTTATGTTTAAGATGGTTTGTTCCACTGTGAGGGCTGTGCCACACAGCTTGGTGGACTTGGAGACACGGAGGTGGAAACAATGCGCTGGAGTTGACGTGTGGCTTTTTGTCTGTGTGTCCTGCTTACCTATTCATAATCATGGATCCGTTCTGCCGTGTGATATTGTGAAGGCACGAATAGCAGCACCTCATTAAACCACCAGCTCCAGAAGAACGAGCCTAATGCCGACTTTCTGGACCTTCCGTCATTCACCAAAAGATGTAGTTGGTGTGTGTCAGGATGACAGAGGGCCACCACTGGACCCACGTGTGGCCGGTCCCCGGGTCTGCCATGTGCTTTGCCAGCTGCCAAGTGCTTCCTCTAAAACAGCTAACCCTGCACGCCTGCCTCCTGCACTTTGTTATCAGAACCTGCACGCGGCTGCTTTCTTAAGAACTCATTGGAGAAGGAGCCAGTCTGTATCTCGTTCTCGCACATCTGTGTCATGAAAACGTATTTTTTTTAAGCAAAATTGAAAGAAAAGAGAGAGAGAGAGAGAGAGAGAAAAGGGGAGGGGGAAAGGGGAGGTTGCCATCCAGTGGAGGAAGGAGTAATTCCCGGCTTCATTCAGGAAAAACGCAGGCTGAAATATACTTAACTATTTTAACTTGGCTGGGGATTTTCATCACCATATGGGTTTTTTTCCTGACATCCGGAGCCAAACGGGTGCCGTGTGCCTTTAAGGAAAGAGGTGCCTCACCAAACTTCGCTGTAGTTGTGTCTCACCGTTTCGGTAGGGAAGGAAAGTGTTAATTTCTTATTTGTACACTTTTTTTCCCCGACTTCCTTCCTATTCACTTCATTAAGTCTAGAGGCAGTTCGGCATGGGAGCCGTCTGTATGTTGAATTAGGGCTCGCACTCTTGCAACACGTCACCAGTCGGAAACTGGGGGTTTGCTTCTGTGATTTATTTCATTATTGTGCTGGTAAAAGGTTTGGAAGGGAATTCTTTTTGGGGGTAGTACTTTAGCATTGTGTAGTAAGTTTTTTTTTTTTTTTTTTTTTCTTCTTGTGCCCGCCCCCACCCCCCACCCCTAGCGCCGACTTGAGTCAGTGGAGCCAGTTTAATAAATAATTTTTAATATAAAAGAACAGTTTAAAATCTCCATGAATAATTTTACTTACATGCAGGAGTAATCTTACTCTACCCTTTAAGTGCTAAAAGCATTGGGATATATTTAGTGAATTGATTTCCATTAGAAAAAGACCCTTAGAAATCCCAGAACATAAAACACTGCATATGGATGTGTTTTGGGTCTTTGGGGAGGAGGGAAGATGTTTTGTAGCTCTCTGCATTCCTGCATAAAAACCTTAATTTAAGAGGAATAATGGTCAGTACTTTGTGTGTTTCCTTGTAATTCCAGAACCTAAATTTAATAAGAATCTGCACGTATTAGCAATTGTAATAAAAACTGTTTCACTAGTTCTGTTTGCAATTTGTTTTCGCTTCTTAGCTACTCCCAGATTTAGAGATTTAAAAGTCCAAATATCACAAGCTTATGCTTTGTTCCCTTTTTTCAAAATAAATGGGGGTGAGATTAAAAATATCCTTTCCCCAACTTCCCCCTCTTCATTTATCCCACTGAAAAGAAAAACAATGAAAAATTTTACAGCATGAAACTGAAAGTGAAGTGTTACAGTTGTTCGAGATTTTCCTTAAAGAGAAAAATAACATATTGTATTAAAATATTTGAACCTGAGAACATGCACATTGCTTTTACTTACATGCATTTAATGGGGAAAAAAAAATTATCTTTTAAAAATCATTTTAGACTGTTCCAAAACCATGCAGCTTATTTTTTTAAGCACTAAAATGAGATGTAAAACACCAAAAAAAAAAAAAACAAAACAAAACCTTGTTTTAATTTTTTTAATAAATTTGAATATTAATTTGTTTTTTTATTGGCTTAATTGTTAAAATGCGAGCAAGAATCAGAAACCACCTGAGCTAAAAATCTCTAATTCTGCTGCCTGGAATAATAGGGGGGAAAAAATATGATAAGTAGTTGTCAATATTAAAACAGGCTGAAGGAGGAAGGCTTTGGGCCTTGTAGTAGGTAGAATGAAACAGCAGATTTGAGTATCCACAATCCTTTCAGTATTAAATTTTCAGTAAAATAAAATTACTTGTATATGAAAACATAGCCTTTCCCCAGCTCTCTTTTTTTTCCTGATCAGCTGATGAAGAGACTAGCAGCTCGCTGCTTTGCTGGCTTGTTAATTTTATCCCCACTAACTGTGATTTCCGATAGCCGGCCTGCTGATAGTGGTAAGGTAAATATCCTTTTTCATTGCCGTCTTGAAGATTCAGTAGAACTACATCCCAGGCATGTGTAGGTGTGTAACACATCAAAAGCCGGTGTTCTCCGTATTTCTGTGTGCAACTGGGTGCTTGAGGAGAGCAATACCATTAACTGTTGACAGCCTTGCATGCTGTATTTATTATTAGCATGTTCAGCCTCCAAGATATGCGGGACAATTTCCTTTTCTTAATCTTCGCTTAGCTGCAGTATGTTTAGCTGTATAGTGGGTGTCCTGCTTTTAGGCAAATGAATATTAATGAAATAATGTGGAGCTTTTTTTTTTTTCCGTTTTCCTTTTTCTCATAACTCATCAGATCTTGCCTCCTTCATAGTGCTTATCTGAACACTGTAGGATCGTGATGGAAATTGTCTTTTGATTATTAAGGCCTACGCTCAGACTGTCCCTCAGGAGTCTGTCTGTGTGCATGTTGCTTCTATGGATTTGCACATTGGAGGATGCATAGAAAACATTTTTTTTTTTTAATCCCACTGGCATTTTTAACATGCCAGGTTGTCTTGTGTTCTGCACCAGGTTTTCTTCACAAAACCTTTCTTTTTCAGGAGGCATTGTACATAAGTGAAAGAAATTATGTCTGAGCTGTAATCACTCTTTATATTGATTGTTATACTCACATGATCATAAATATTAGCCATGTTTGGTGCTGTGGAGAAATGAAGGTAATTGCCTTATGATTAGAGCTCTTTCAGCTACGAGAAAGGATTGATTAGCATTTGCATACTGGAGGCAATATTGAGAGGCAGGAGGAACAAATAACAACATCAGTTATTTTGTGTGAGAAAGCAATCTCAAAATGTAATTTAAAGATTTTTTTAGAAAATTTCTTTTTCATGGTTACATTTTCTGTTATGTGTTTTGTTTTTCTTTGCAGTTCCCTCCCCCCCTTTATTTTTCTTCTTAAGTTTTGAGATGTACCAGGAAAAAAAAAAAAAAGTTTAAACTTCTGATTTGTCACATGGATCTTTTAGCCCTTTATGAACAGGTTTCTTTTATACCTGGTTGTTTTTATAGCTATTTTATTATCTCTCTGCATTAGTGCTGCTGGCTCTGGTTTAAAGCAAGCATTTGCAGGTAATTGGAAAAAAGTGTTTGTTGTTTGTGAGTGTGCGTGTGTTTGGATGATTTAAGTGCGTTTACCAAGGAGTGTGGCTTTGTACTTTCCCATTTCCTTGTTTACTAAATTGCTATGTTAGAACAAAAATCTGGAAGGAACTTCGATTTATGTTGTGAATCATGAATAAATTGATAAAAGCCTCAAAGAAGAAAAGGTCAAAGCTTATATGATTTGTATGGATGTATTCTTAGGGAAATTTTTTTCTTCACCCACCCCTCATTTTTGTTTACCATTTTTCCCCCTTACACTAATGAGACAATTAGGGTCTTTTTCTTATATTGAGCTAAAATTTCAACTGGATTTAGTTATCCTCAAACATTTAAATGTATAGATCTTTTAATATTTGTAATCTTCTTTACTATGAGTGTTTCAGGCCTTCAACGTATTGTGCTCATGAAACAGACTTGGGTTAAAGATGCATTTATCCAGTAGGATGGTGTTCCTTTTTTCTTCTTCGTCCACTGACTACTGTTAACTTTTTACTTTCTTTGTTAGTTTGTTTCATTTTATTTTAATTATTCACATATATCTATATGTGTCTTGGTTCTTTTCTTCTCTTGAATTTTTCTCCTTTGTTTCTGATCAACAGGCCATTGAAGACGGCAATTTGGAAGAAATGGAAGAGGAAGTACGGCTTAAGAAGCGAAAAAGACGAAGAAATGTGGATAAAGATCCTGCGAAAGAAGATGTGGAAAAAGCTAAGAAGAGAAGAGGCCGCCCTCCAGCTGAGAAACTGTCACCAAATCCCCCCAAACTGACAAAGCAGATGAATGCCATTATCGATACTGTAATCAACTACAAGGACAGGTGAGTGTTTCCCTCCTTCACGTCGATTGTCTTTCCCCAAGACTGTGGCTCATGCCACCTAAACAGCAAGATTTATTCGGTTGTGCAGTCGGGTTTGAAGTTGTTTCCTACTTTGTGCTTTTATTGCTTTCTCTCCAAAGGTACGAGTAACCTTGTACCGTGTTCAGAATGGCCACGATTGCTGTTTTGTACAGTGTGTCACCATGAATTATTTGAGATAGTTGGACATGAGTTTAGACTATAAAATTTAAAAAATATCTAAACTGGAAAAGGATTCTTAAGGATCTCTGAAATACCGTCGTTTATGTGAAAGGGATTACATGAAGGATAGAATGAAATTATTTTTTTGAATTGAATTGTTAGGGAAAGAAGAATCCTAGTATATTTAAGGTAAATATTTCATGTTAAGGCTGTTTAAAACCAAGCAGATGCTTCATCAAAAATACTGTTTCTTCTTTCTTTCTGTCACTTGAATTTCTGAGCACCTTTTTGAGCCATCTCCTTCGTCCTAATACGACTATATAGTCAGTGTGATATTTCAGCACATTTACCTCTTTTTCATGAAACTTTTGGATGTGAACTTTGAGGAGGCTGTAGTGGACATTCTTCCCAGACCATTTTAAACAGTGAATAATTATTTGAAAAGTAAAGCAAAGACATTTTAGGGTGTCAGCCCCATATAGTACATTTTGGTTAGTTGATTTGGGTTAATTGATTTGGTTTCCGCTTGCTAATCATGTAATAATGTTTTCATTTGAAGATCGCATCTCGTTTCAGTTGAAAAATTGGTAAAAGACTAAATAGACATTTTAGTTCTCCAAATTGCATAGTGCTATAATCAGTTTTTAGTTACCAAAAATCTTTGACATTAACTAGTGATGCTCTGTACACCTGGAAGTGTTTAACACAAATAACTAAGTTGTGATTTCAGTTTTTCATTGTGGCTTTGGTGCATGTATCATATCAGGAAGAAAAAAGTTATAAATATTTAGTAGTATAAAAAGCAAGAAACTTTCCACAATGGGGTTTTGTTGTTAAGCCTTATCACTAAGGAGTTTTCAGAAATGATGAGAGGGGAGTAAGAAGAGATATTTGTGAAAAGCTCAAAATTTCTTGCCCCTCTTTATTCACCAGGTCTCTTAGGTTCCATGCCTACGCTTTAACTATTTTTCTGTTTTTCAAATAAGTGCATCCACTTTAAGGATTCTGAAGTGATGACAAAGGACAGCCCCCTTTCTATGGGGTATATGGATCAGCTCTTCATTGACATAGGAGAATGATGGCAGTTTGGGAAGGAAAATTTGACCAAAGTCCATTCTTTGCTCAGAGTGAACATGAAAACTTCCTTGTAAACCAAGAATCAGTAACTCTGTCAAGTTTCTGTTTACCCCCAGCTCTGCTTATAGATTTGCCTAGGAAGCGTGGATTATTATGCCTTACTTTCTCAGTCCCTGGTGTAAAGGAAAATATTACAAAGCAGAGAGTCTCACTCTGCATATGCCTCAAACTTTGTTGCCTTCATCTCATTGGAGGTAACATCTGTGTCTCTGACCCTCCCTGCCTTGATATTTGACAGGCATACTGCTCATTACTTGCTGAGTGAGTCTAGGGTGTTGAAATACTGAGGGCCAAGAAAGTCCTTAGAGGTTTAAAAGCTAGGCTTTTATTCCAGGGCAATGGCTGTGTTTTCCTTTAATGATGTAAAAGAGGTCACCAACCAGTAGACCACATATTGCCAATGGACTGTTTTATTTGGTTTTGTGTTGTTTTTTGGAAAAGAAAAAGAAAGAATGGAAATACATAAAACTGGAGAGAATTCTTTTAAAAACTTCAGGAATACCGCCCCCACCCCTCACCCCTGGCCTTTTTGAAAAACCTGAAAATCTGGCAGCATTCTGCCCAACTTTCCCTAACGTACCAATCAGGAGGAGAGAAGAAGCAGCCACCCCCTTTTGGTGGGGGGGGGCACCCTGCTCTATGTTGCCACAATCCTCATCACTCCCTGTCATCTCTCAGTACGGGGTGTGAGTTGCCATTTGTCATTATGCTTTTCACACCTGACTCACTTCACTCATTTATATTACCTCCTGGCCTCATAGCCTTTTGCATTTATGACTTCCTGGTGCATATGGCTATGGACTGTCCACTTTCCTAGAAACTATCCAAAAATATAGAGTAGTATGAGATTATATCCCTTAAGCCTCAGCTAAGCACTGCACAGTGGTTTAGAACACAAGATCTTGTCTGATTTAACTGCTTGCCTTTGAATCCTGACTCTGGCATTCACTAGCTGTAAGACAGTTGGGTAATTTACTTAACCTCCCTGAGCCTCAGTTTCCCCACTCACAAAATGGAATAATTACTGAACCTGCCTCTAGAGTTTTTATGAGTCGTCAATGAGTTAATATAACTCAGGCTCTTTGAACAGTTTAATTATTAATAATCAGCCTTTCTGACTATTCGTAGCTAATCAGGTGGGTGAATGGACCTCAGAGCACCATAAAGAGTCTTTGCTGATACTGGTTGCCATGGTTTTATTTCTAGAAACAGAAAATGCAGTTTCACTGAGACTGATTATTGAACTTCTCTTCAGTTGTACTGTAGTTAAAGGATGTTTAAATATTTCAGTTTGCAGATATTAAGTAGCAATTTTTTTTTCCTTTTCCTAGTATTTAAAATCTATTTATTTACTTTTCCTTAAAAAGTACTGTGGTAAGACCCATTCTGTTAGCTCCCACATTTGGGTACTTTCTGGGGAGTCTGTACTAAATTTCCTACCACTACATGTTTCATATATACTTCATGTTAGTAATCTTCTCCAAAAAAGCACTTAACTCTATTTATATTTTGTATTTCTCTTACCAAACTTGGTACTCAAGTAGGAGGCACTCAAATTAGGAGGGCCTTAATTAGATACAATGTCATATTTTTGCTTGGTTTTAGAAAATGCAGCTGGGAAATGTACACCTCACTGTGTTGAGATTTTTGCACCACTAAAGTCAGGTACTAATACAGTAACTCATCCTACCTGTGCAAGAAGTAAATACCACCTGTACTAACTTCCCTCCCATCACCTCAGTCAAATGTTAGGGCTCTGACAGCCATGTAGCTTAGCATATTAAATAAGAACTGCCATCTATATTTAACTTACATATAAGAAGAATTAATTAGCTATCGTGAGACAGTTGTTTAAAAGTTCTTGCATGATTCCGGGACAGATGTATCTTGATATTTTTAAAGAACTAAGATAATTTACCCGTCTATTTATTACTTTTGTATTCAGTGCCAGGCCTTGTTTTTTAAAAGGAGGATACTTTTAAATATGTGACCCCAAGGGGGCAGGAATTTTGTGTGATTCATAAATGTAAAATCCTTCCGCAGTAATGGCTGTCAGAAGTAGTACAGGTCTGCTGCTACTGGCTCCCATCATTTCATTTCCCCAAATAGAAAACTTTATATCAAGTAGTACTAGAAGGCTTTGTTTTGACTTGTTAAGCATGCTTTGTTTTCTCCTTATTTAGAAGGCTTTCAAAAATCGTATTATCAGTTTAAATAATATTTAACCTAAGATTCTGTATTTCTTTGAAAAGTGATTCATCCTCGTTGGCATTTGTACCCTCTGAAATTGCTCTTGGGATTGAGATGCAGAATGAAGTGGTGAAGAGTAGGGTCTAGTGGAGCCGTTCCAAATCTAAAGACAGGGCTTGTAGTTACTAGGATAAAGGCAAGAGAGATTCCTGGAGGCATTCTTAAAGCTGGAAGGGACTTTTAGCTCTGCCTGGTCCAACTTGCCGCAACCCCCTGCCCCACCTCTGACAGCTGATCATCCGAATTCTGTGTGTACACTCCAGCATGAGCTCACTGTTGTAGGAGGTAGTTCATGACACTGAAGGACAGCTCCAAACATGATCTTTATTTCCTATATTAAAATGGATTCAGCCCTCTGATTTCTAGCTATTTGTTCTACTTGGAAGTTCAGAGAATAAATCTGTTCTCATTCCAAGAAATGTCCTTTAAAATATTTATAAACAAGTATATCCACCTCAGGGCATTATTATTATTACAGTTGAAACACTTCACTCTGCTCTCTGAGTGATGCCTAGATTTGGGCCATACTCGTCACCTCCTTAGTCACATCCTACTTTCTTAGTGTCTCGTTTAAAACATGACACCCAGAACTCCAAAGGTACTCTGACATCTAATTGCAGGGCGATTAGTTTCCTTATCCTGGACACCAAAATTCTGTTAACATAACTCAAGAGTATGTTTACTTTTTCAGCAACCTTGACACAAAGTTAACCCACTTTGAACATGTGACTTGCTGAAAAACCCCAACTCCCCATCCCAAAATATACCCAGCTCTTTTCTCAAATGAATGTTGCCAAGTTAGCCTTCTACTAAGCACTAAGTTTTTTGAACCTATACCTGCTGATTTTATTCTTACCCCTATGCAGTCTGTCTTACTGCTTTCTGTCCCATCGTTCTAACCTACTGCTGTAACTCTATTTTTATTTCTTTTTTCAAACTTTTTTTTCTGCAGCTGGCCAGTATGGGGATCCAAACCCGTAATCTTGGGGTTATGAGGCTGCACTATAACCAACCGAGCTAACTGGCCCGCGCTTATTTCTCTTGTAGGAATTATGTTTACATGGCTTCCTAAGTTTTTATCATCTGAAGATTTTTATATAGGCTGTTGCTGAGAATCTTCTAAAGGACAAAGGACAGGACTCTATGACATGTCCCTGAAAGTAACTTCAGGTTGACACGAATGTATTAACCTGTAATCCTTAAAGTTGCTTAACCATGAGTGAACTCATGGCCATGCTATCATGTCACCCACATTATCTGTCTTTTCTCAAGGTTTTCAAGAAATGCTAAAACCAAGATGTAACACATTTATAATCTCTCCAATCTATCAAACTAGAAACCCTACCGAAAAAATGAAATGAGGTTAGCTTTCTAAGAGACCTCCTGCTGATATGTAATGATGTTATTTATCT